GAAGCCGGCCAGGGAGACTCGTCCAGAAGGGAAGTGGAGGAGGGAGTCCAGTGGATTAGCACCTGAAGAAGACATGGGAAATGACCACTCACAGCAAAGAAGGAGATCCVAGGAATACAGGKTCAACRCTGAATGCAAGCTGGACCGGTCTCATGATGAAGGCACCAAGTTGATCRAATTCGAGGCTACCCAACCTAGATAACAAATGTTCACAAATGTTCACAAGTCCTGGCCAGGMGGCAGCCCAAGATTGCGGTATAATGACAGCGAGCAAATGGACGAGGTCCACAGCTGGGCGAGCAGATACCGAGAGCCAACATGTAGGCAGCCAACAAGATCAAGGTTATGAAGTCAAGAGACAATGTAGGGTATACTAAAAGATTAAGCGGAGTGGTAGCTGTCTGGTAGGCAAGCAGCTCAGAGAGCTGTTTACTGCTGCCGACCAAATTTCGATGAAGACAAGCGATGACGAGTTTATAGAGTTTATAGGGTACAGAAATGGTAATAATCAAACAGAGGGGCTGCTGAAAAAAGGGCTGGGTTTAGAGACAAGGGGTGCTCCTATAAAGGGAAGGGTGAAACTAGCAGCTCCACGGGACAATGGAGCCCCAGGATGAGTAAGTAATAACCACAGCCCCAGAAAACAACGGACATCAATCCCAGTGCTTCACGATGTATCAAATGGGACGCTGGACCCGGTTTCCAGCAGGTGAAGCTCCCCACCAATAGATGGAGCATCCCGATAGGTAAGCCCTCAATTCTGACGGTTCTCCTACCGCCGCCAGGATAGAGGGATATCGCAAGGCCATTTAAAAAAAAAAAAAAAAAAAAAAAAAAAAAAGGGCTGCAAATTTATATAATTTTATAATAAAATCCTTTTGACCTATTTGGTTCTGTAGTTATTGTTATTATTAAATTATTAATTTCTTATGCTTATAAATTTACAAAAGCCCTGTATATGTTAGCAGGGTTTAAACTTTAAACCACCTGTACTTTTCCCAGCCATCTTTTTCCGAAGAGGGGGTGCATGCATGCCCAGCGACTTTCGGGACATGTGGCCTGCCAGAGCTAAATAGCTGGCGGCGCTGGCCAAAAAAGGAAAATGTGCCAGCTCGTTTATTCTCTGCCACGCAGGGGAGAATCCCCTTCGGCACAAAAAGTCCTCTTAAGTACTGGTGGTTTAATGGTAGAGGTTGTGACTCTTATGGGGGTTTTGCATTCAATAGGGGATCGTTCCCTTGACTAGCTGGCTGTTTATCTCTTATTAACCTCTTCAGTAGTTCGGGACGCTAAAGAGATTTGGTCTGGAATCTGGAGATAAATCCGTATGATATATTGAATAGGACGCAGCTTGGTACAGTCGTTGGATCTTATTCAATTTTTCTAAGAATCTGTGCAATATGACGTTCATCCTTCCGTTAGTCCCCTTCATCGATTGAAATATTTTCCAAGTTCTACTAACATGTCCCCAAGAGCGTAGCCTCTTTTTTTTTTTTTTTTTTTTTTTTTTTGTTTTTTTTTTTTTTTTTTTTTTTTTTTTTTTTTTTTTTTTTTTTTTTGAGTTTGACAACTTTGACTACACTGTACAGTCTGTAGAGCCTCTCTACATGCATTTTTCATGCTGAGTCTCGTAAATGTTTTTCGTCTACTTTTTTTTTTTTTTTTTTTTTTCCTACTTGCTCGTCGAGTGCTCTGCTTGTATGCAAGTGATTGCAATATGTCATCTCTTAGAGATTAAATTCGACACTATTAATTTAGTATTAAATTAGTGATAGATTTTGGTATATCTGAAAATATAGCTTATTTAACACGGCTACACCGGACCCGGACCCGGACATTTCCGGACATGGAACCGGACCCGTGTTCGGTAGTTTCCGGACGTCCGGAATTCCGGACATTTCCGGACCTCTGGACATGGGGGGATCCGGACGGTCTGGAAATCTGGATAGGTCCGGAAATGTCCGGACCATTAAAAAAAATAAAAATAAAAAAATCTGAAAAAAAAGTATGTTATGCAGAATAACAATGCAAACCACTTTTGCCTCAGAGTCATGTCAGAATTCCTAATCAAACTTGAGTTAAAAGTCAAAAACGATAAAAAGCTTAAAAAAAGACTTTAAAAACTAGTAAAAGGTAATGAATTATTAATAATTAAAAATTTGGGGTTATCTAATAAATTACTATAGAGAGAGAGCATGTCCGGACCCCCAAAAAAAGCATAAACGGGCCTGAAAAACCCCCAAAACAATTTCGGGGGCTTGGCTCCTCAATGGGGAAGGGTCCTGGACCGTTTTTTTTTTTTTTTTCCTCGAAATTTGCCAGATCCGGACCTTCCAGACCGGACGTCTGGATTCCGGACTGAATCCAGACCGTCCGGACGGCGGTCCGGACGTCCGGATCGTAGCCATGTTATTTAATATCAATTTGCATTAGTTTCTTACATGGATTTCTTCTTCTTCTTCTTTTTTTTTTTTTTCTGAGAAGCTGTCGCTTTATATATTCAAAATCGATAATGCAAGAGGCCGGGGACCTCACAATTCTCCCCAGTGTATTTGAAGAACCTTTGCTAGAAACCGGGTCCAGCGTCCCCAAACTACTCAGCCTCATCTAGATAGAAACTTCTCAAAATTACCATGAAGCACAGTAAAAAGAGGGCCAAACTGAAAGGTCAAGAAGCTCTCAAATCCTTCAGCCTCTAATATCTTTGCTGCACAGGGAAGCACCGGCATGTTTCTAACGTCGAAACACTATTGGCAAGAACTACGAGCTTTAGATTGCAACTCTTGTGAATGCACAAGGCAAATCGCAAAAATTTCAACCATTTAACCCTAGAATTATTTCCAAAAATGTACCAAATTCTTGGATACAAATCAATTCTAGAACACAAATCAAATCTAAAATTCAGTCCTAGTATATGCTAAATTTTAATTTTGATATTGCAAAAAATAAAAGTCAACAAACTCTCAAACTAAAGAAGCACCCTCAATGACTAAGAGATGGGAAAGAAAATAAACATTAGGGCTGCCCTCTTGTCCTTACTATCCAAAACACACTGTAAAGAGCCTTTGTTGCCTTGACGGGTTTCCCACCATGCACCCAATGGATAAAACTCTAGTTTGCTCTTCACCAGGTCTCTCGTATCAACCCAACCCTATGAGTATCACCCTAAATCACTGCAACCATACCCCAGCGCTTTAAGGACATCAGGGATCTGTGAGAGGTCGTGAGCTTCTGGAGAATTGCAACATCAAACACAGCTCCCAAATCCTAGCCTCTATGCTTAAAACGTAAACGACACTGTGATACCAAGCGCTGTTATGGATGGCAGTTGTCTTACCCTTCGCGCCCGGGGAACGTTCCCACCGCCACTAGTGAGTCTCCCACTCCCGCTGATGGCGCCGCCACCCATAGGGCTTCGGGGCTTTTTCGACAGTCAAACTTCCAGGCATCTACAAGCTATCAAACTAAAGGAATAATCTCGATAACTCAGCGCTGGGAAACAAGACTAAGCATTTGGGTTACCCTCTCCTCCTCACTGCCCAACACGCTGTAAAGAGACTTTGTTGCCTAGACGGGTTTCCCACCACGCACCCAGTGGATACAACGCTAGTTTGCTCTACACCGTGTCTCTCATATCGTCCCAGCCCTGTGGGTATCACCCTAAACCACAGCGCTTAAGAATATTCAGAATCTGTGAGTGAACATATACTTCTTGGAGAATTAGAACATCAATACAAATCCCAAATCCTAGCCTCGGCACGAATCCTGCAATCTACGAAAAACTACTCAAAATCATGAACAACAAAGCAAATCCAATACTACGATCTCATCCCGTCATCCTGTTGATCTCCCAGATTCTACCATAGGTATGTTAGTGATACAGATGTAAAACAGAAACGGTTACAAATATCTTCTACGTAGACACCTCTTCAGACGAAAGATAAAGTTCCAATCAAAATCCCATAAATCTACCAAATAGCAAGCTAAAGGGACAATCTCAATGGCTAAACGCTGGGAAGGAAAAATAAGCCTTAGGGTTACCTTCTCAACATCGCTGACCAAAACACTGTAAAGAGCCTTTGTTGCCTAGACGGGTTTCCCACCACGCACCCAATGCATACAACTCTAGTTTGCTCTTCACCGGGTCTCACGTATCATCCCAACCCCGTAAGTTTCACCCTAAACCTACTGCAGACCTTCCCCAGTGCTTAAGAACCACTTGAAACTGTAACTGGACATATACTTCTACAGTGAAGTAAGTGAACAACAGACTGCCTTGTGACGAAAAATGGTCAACCGAGACTTGCTGAAACCCTTTAACATGCCGAAGCGCTGCCACCGCAACCGCACGCTTTCCCACTGCGTCCAGATGCGCCGCTCCGCCTTCCATACTTTCCAAGTAGTCGGAGCAGTCGGGATGACGTGTCATAACAAAACAGCGCGCGGCCTTTGGATGGTGAGAAAGGAGCCCCCCCTTTCCAGCAGAAGGCTTGAGGGGAGGGCGGCTCCTCTGGTGTCAAGATCCTGTGGAGTGTGCAGATTGGTATGGAGGTCAGGTTAAGTACAGAGCTGCCAGGATGCCATGGCGTAAGAGTGCATAGCACTCCCTACCCACTCAAGGGCTAGGCTACGCCAGGGCACTGCCGCCATAGCTCTCCCACAGCTATGGTGCCTGGCAGGGTAGGCGCCTCGTGGAAGAAATCAACGTCCACGTACCCCAGCGAAGCGTCCTACGACCGGGCGCCGCCACCGCCGCTACCGCCGCTTCGTTAGCGCACATTTCGCGCGGCCCCCTTTGCGAGCCTGATAGCTTCCTTACATGGATTTCTATTTCTCCTCTACCCCTTTTCCCCAAGACATGCCTTGAAGAAATGCCTGCTTTTTTTTTTTTTTTTTTTTTTTGTTGACATGTGGATGCAATCCTCTGTAGGGAGCATGTGGATGCAATCCTCTGTAGGGTCCCGCTCCCCCCCCCTTCGCTATTGTATTCTCGTGTATGCCTCTGCGACTTAGGCACACTTTTTTGGTTTCCATTCTCTGTCTGCTCTCGCTGGAGCTTCGATTTCGCAGGCGCCGTCTTCTGACATAGCAGTGGTGGAGCTGAGCGAGCAAGCATCATCCGTCAGTGAAATCATCTTCTTTCTGCTTGGAGCAATGACGATCGTTGAGGTTGTGGATGCGCACCAAGGATTCAGCATTGTAACGGATGCAATCTCGACGCGAAACACCCGAACTCTTCTGTGGGTGGTGAGTACTGCCCCCCTGTTCCTTCTCCCTGCTCTGAACTACTTCACGTTTGCAGCGCATGCATGTATTGAGGGGGTGAAGAAGGTACATAAAGAGGGTGGCTTCTTTTTCTTCTTTCATCTTTTTGTTTTTATTTTTTTTAATTTTTTGACAAAAGAAAGAAAGAAAGAAAGAAAGAAAGAAAGAAAGAATGAAAGAGGGGTATTTCGGAAAAGAAGAATAGAATGTGAGTTCTAAAACCAAAAGGCAGAGAGCTGCCCTGACTGAACTTTCCAACAAATTTTGCTTCGAACGTGTCAACAGTGAACCTGAGGACTGAGCCCCTCCCTTCCCCTGAACAGACTAAGGGCATACATAATCACTCGCACTAGGACATTTTCGACTGAGCTCTGGACGTGATTACGCTCAGTTGCATCCAGGTCTGAACACAATTCCAGTCAGATACATTAAGGAAAGTGCTAGTGTGAGTATGCCCTTACACTTGTGTGCATTATGTCTTTTTTTCTGCTCAGACTGGCTAGGGGGCAAGAAAAAAGGAATAATGCCGGAAGTAACACCCCCATGAGAACACGCTTCCGAAACACTTACCAATTTGATCATCAAGGAGTGGGCTCCAAGGGGATAGGTCTCCCCCCCCCCCCCCCCCCCGCCTTTTTTTTTTCAGGTCTTGGTCTTCGAAGCGGGCTTCTTCTTTGCCCAAACTCTTTCCTGAGCCTTTCTTGACACTTTCCCGACCCTGTCCCTCCTCATCCCTTGTCTCCTGCCGCTCTCCCTCGTAGCTGATCTGGACATGAATGATCGCAGCTATGATCTCTGTTGTCGAAGTGGGTGGAAGCCACCGTCTTCACCCGAATAGAATGGTGGGTGATTATGACTGTATATTTTGGGGCAAGTTTAAGTCTAGATACGGCGATAATGACTGGGCCTTCTATTTGGGTGGAGACAACAGGTTGCTGCAGTACAGAACCAGGCGGCTCCTTTTGTGGGCTGAAGAGGTTTCCCGCCTTTTTAAACATGTATGGGGGGGGGGGTAGTGAATCGCCCGCCATGAATTGGCTGTGTCATGAATTCTAACCTGAGCAGTTCATTTGTCTGTGTGAGTTTGCTGCGTGCGTACATGTGTGTAAGTCCCTGTTTGACGATTGCTATGCCGAGTATGAACCGTGTGCTTGCTCTGTGCTTTTGGTGTTCCTGAGAGGGGAAGATTAGAAATAGGAAACCACAGGGGCAAGACTGAAATTGGGGAGCGGACGGATTTCAAGAAAGGCTAGGATGGACAGGGACACAAGTAGAATGCGCATAGTACCCGACAAGGATATTCCAGCAACTCGGGTATGCCCAGCTGTAGTCCGGTAGGCTTAGAAGGACCCGGTAGCTTTCCAAGAGGTCATGAGTAGTCACAGCCCGAACCTAGACATCAATGAGGTCAGATTCAGGCCCTGAGGTAGACTTCTAGGCGGCAACGATGTTCCCGCCAAAAGGCAGGAACTCCTGGCAGAGCTAGTACCCCGCCGGAGAGGCAGCGGTAGGAGCAGTACCACAGCGTAAGTGAAGCTGTGAGGTCGAGTTGCAAGAGTATATCATTCGGGGGGATCTTACCCAACAGTCATGATGCTACTCCATGCGGCTCCTCCCAGAGGGGGATGTTAAGCGGATCGCCTGCTTAGTGGTGAAGCTGGAGGGTGGATAAGAAGACCTCCCTGGCTATGGAGGAGGAGGAGTTGGAGGGAGTAGGCATGGGCTATGGAAGTAGAGGGTGAAGCGCCCAATGCCAGACTATGGAGAAGGGTGAGAGAAGAGTGCAGATTTGAGGAAGCGGGCGTGAGAGAGGAACCAACATGAGAGACTCATCTATGGCTATGGTGCACCTTCATCTTCTCTTCCCTGGTTGGCGCCGTATCTAGAAGGCCCTTTTGTGGGTTCCCGTTCGTCTCTTACTTCAATCGAGAGCATGGCTATGGCGGAAAGAGATGGGAGAGGCATAAGAGAGACTGTTGTTCTTTGAACATCCGTGATAAGCATGGATGTTCCGCAATAGCTAGCGCTAGTTGCAACCAAGGGGGTGGGGAGAGAGAGAGAGAGAGAGAGAGAGAGAGAGAGAGAGAGAGAGAGAGAGAGAGAGAGAGAGAGAGAGAGAGAGAGNGAGAGAGAGAGAGAGAGAGAGAGAGAGAGAGAGAGAGAGAGAGAGAGAGAGAGAGAGAGAAAGAGAGAGAGAGAGAGGGGTAATGGCCGAAAGGAGGGCTGTGACGCCCAACCTCACGCCCAGCGCGACTTCCTGATTGGAGTGGGATGGGGGCCCAGAAGTGCGAAAAAGGGGGTGTGCCAAGGATTTTAGGAAAGTGGGGGGGAGGTGGAGTCCCAGGTCGGAACTGAGATCTCCGGTGGCAAGTTTAGGGACAACAGTGCAAGATAGTACGCGAAGATCATGTCGGGGATTATCGTCTCTGCCAGTTGCGTCGCTGCGGTCGGCTCCGTGGGTTGTGGTGGTGGTCACGTGGTTCGACCAGTTGTCGGCGCCGCTCGGCTCCGGTTCGGGTTCGCCGGGTAATTTCCGAAGCTCGATATGCCTGGTGCAGCTGGCACTTTTCGCACGGTGTGCGGGGCCAATAGCGGGCTATGGAATTCCACGGCAACACTATGAGCTGGTGATATGGAAGAAGGAGGTGAAAGGGAGGGAAACTAGTGGTAATAACGACGAAGCCGGGGGATATGTAATATTGCGTGTTACAAGTATCCAGGTAGTCGGGGCCCCTAGGATCGTTAGTTACGGCACAGTGAAAGTCCCTTGCGCACAATCGGTCGTTCTCTGTCAGACAGGGGAATTCCGGGTTTCTGAAGTTTCCCCGCCGTCTGAGTTGTTCACCTTCCCAATATTCGCGATATTCCGGGTCCCTCAGGCTCTCACGACCGGGGATCCAAGAGGGAAATTCCACAGCCATATCCACTTAGTGAACTCGGTCCCCTGCATCCTTATACTGAATTCGAGGTCAACTCATGCAGACGCGCGCGTACGCGGCGACTCGGTTTTCTCGAGATCGCGGTCGTACGCGAGCGTGTTATGAACTTGGTTGTTTGACAATTGAATTGCCACTCACACACAACAGAACTCACACATGCCCATACATGCACAAGTCAGGGGGAGGAAGAGACAGAGTCCACCTGCACACACACCAGAGATAAACAGCGAAATAACAACCATGCTCAGATGGGGAGAATTCACACCCAGTGTTCTCTCTCTCTGATAAACTCCCAACAACCAATCACAATTGAAACTGCGAAGATCACAATCGGAAAGTGTCTCAGATGATGAGCCAACTCAACACAGTTAACCCCAATAATCGTTACAGAGTTTAACCCAGTGTTTCGCCACTCAAGTCCCACTCACTCCACTCAAAGGCTAGCGCTGTATTAAAACAGCCTCCCAGAGGCCAGCGCCATACACCCAGATGCAGATCATGAATAGCGAAGTAGCCCTCAGTGCCGAAGAGTCTCTCTGACGATGAAGAAGGCAGCTATGGCTGCCCAGCTGCTACCGCAGCAGCAGTACCCACATGTACTCTGTGAAGACCTCCCAGATAGTCCTGCCAACGCAGATATCCCCAGGGGATAGATGCGCTGAGTACAGCCCCAGCTATGGCTGTCTCAGGTGGCGGGCTATGGCTGCTCCACTCACGGCTGATGTCTCTGGTGCCACTGCAGACATTCAGCGCTGCTCCACTTGGTTGGCCACCAACGCTGCATGCGAAAAATGAAAGCCAAAAGTCCTGAACCGATTTTCCTCCAGGACTTATAGACTCTACACTCTAGCCTAGACCTAAACCGGACTGACTGGACCTACCAGTACCGCTGCTGTTTCGGCCTCTCGGCCTCTACCGGACCCGGCTATAGGCTATAGGACCGTTTACCAGTCTAGGCCACTTAGGGCCTCTGTCCTAGGGGTAGCCCGGGCCTGCTATAGGCAGTTAGGGTAGTAGTAGGAATTCGGTTAGTTTAGGGCCTGTAGTCCCTTAGAATTACAGGTCTGTCCCTCGCGAATTTCCCAACAGGCAAGTCACTCGGTTAGCCCTCAGCCAAACAAAATTGTGAATCTAACCCTACGGTTAGTGTACAGCCTCGCAGACAAACTCGGCAGCAGAAATCAGCAAGTCATTGCAAGCGCGCACATGAGCGGAAAGTGGGTCGGTCTTGGGTTCAATGTACCGATTGCGTTCATCCTACAGGCAACTATCCTACTCATGCTTATGTTGGGTGAGATCCAGGTGTTACATTCATATCCATGCCATTCATGTGGCAAAAAGTAGAAAAAAAAGAAAAGGGGAAAGGACAATCAACATCTCACAGCGTTCTTGGTGACCTAATGACAATCGAAGACTAAACCCAAACATTCGTGGCGAGTGCCTCCAATCCGATCCGAGAGTATTGCTCATGCAGATGGGTAGAATTAAACAGGCATCGCAGCAAAAGATTGGAAATCCGAAAAGATCACTAACAAAAAAAAGAGTTCACATCCATTCCATTTATACAAAAAAAAAAAAGACGACAAAGAAAATCCGAGACGATTTACAGGGAAAAGTGCGAAAAGGCCGCAACAAAATCAGCCATAGCAGGAACCAAAATTATACAGTTAAACAAAAGAAAGGACCTCGTTCCGCACCCGCAGCTGCTCTCTCTCTCTCTGCTCTACACTCCCGATGCAGGCAGTCCGTCGCCTCGCATCCACACAGAGTTGTCACCCCGCTTGGTTCGAGCATGCAAGCCAGGTTCGCCCGTGCGCCACAGTCCGTCGCGGCCCCGCACGTCAACCCCGCATACCCGACACCAGCTCGTCGGATCGCCCAACTCCCTCATCGACTCACCTCTCAGGCTGACTCGTTAGCCGAACCTCACTGATCGCGCTAACTCCAAAGTTCATAGAGAGCAAACTAATCGCACTTGCAAAATTTATAGCATGCATGCTTGCGCGAAAGATACGGGATTAAGCCCAAGTGGTCAGGAGGGGAAGAGAGGAAGTGCCTACGTCTGCATGGCCAGGCCGCGGCGTGGGGGTCGTAGCCACACTCCACGCATCGATCCGGTCAGGCAGGCGTTCAGGCCAATTAGAAAAGAGTATGCAAGGTGAGGAAGAAGGAGAAGGCGGGCAAACACGAGGAAACCAAGAAAGAAGAAAGATACAGTTACAATCGCGCCCGACAAAAGCGACAGTTACACAAGATTAAGGGCGCGGTCCAGTCAGAGCCCAGTTCCTAGTGCCGCAAGATGTGCGTGAGTGAGAAGCGCGGCACAGCAAAATTCAGAGTACCTAAATTCCTAGCCTAAGTCCTAATTGCAAAAAGGAAATTTCGAAGAGCCCAAAAACAATGCCGCGAGCCCGTGGGGGCTTGATATCAGTTAAAAATTCAAAAAACGATATTCCCGCGCGATGATCGCACCAAAAATTCCTAGTGCTCACGGCAGAACAAGAAAGAAGCCATGGCAACCGTTGTCCATCGCGCTCGCTAAGGCGTGGTTACCCAATTGTCGGCGCGGGACGTTCCTGTCACCGACCCGACAGATTTTCACAGGAAACAAAAAGGATGAGGGTATCTATGCAATTTTGCCCGCCCGACCCATCTTCTCCGCAGCTCACCCATCCGACCCGTCTCATTCCCCCAAGGCAGCTTCGCGCAGAAAGTCGCGCGATTACAGAAAATGGTTCGTCACAGGGCTCTTTGAGTGGTGGCAGTAAGGGGGGTTACTCGGGCATGATTCCTTTTCATTCATTCATTCATTTGTTGTTGTATTTGAGAGAGAGAGAGAGAGAGAGAGAGAGAGAGAGAGAGAGAGAGAGAGAGAGAGAGAGAGAGAGAGAGAGAAGGGAAGATGTTGCTTTCTTTTCGTTCTGCTCCACTCTTTTTCTCTCTCCAATTCTTCTGTTGAGTTTCAGCAAGGCTTGCATTTTTCCTTGCAACTTGAGTTTTGCATTATGAATGCGGAAGGATCATAACAGGGGTTTTGTTTTTCAATCTTGTAGTTGAAGTCATAGTCCTCTTCTTCTAATTTCCATGGACTGACGTTTCTTTTCCGCCAATCTCTTGCAGATAGGGTTCCTTTCATTTTTCCTAAGCTCCATCTTGGAAAATTTGACGACGACTATTGTCATGGTGTCCCTGCTGAGGAAACTCATCACCAACCCCGAACAACGAAAGTAAGTATGCAGAACCTCCAACTCCTCCCCCCAAGGATGGCATGGTTTTATTACTTCCCCGTACCGTTTCTTCGCTCTCCTCCCCCCTTAGACTCCATTTAACTTTTGATCATTTCACCCTTTTCAACATCAGCATATCCAAACCCTGAGCCAAGGTTGTGTCACAGCAGGCCTCTCTCTCTCTCTCTCTCTCTCTCTCTCTCTCTCTCTCTCTCTCTCTCTCTCTCTCTCTCTCTCKCGCGCGCGCGCGCGCGCGCGCGCGCGTGCCACTGCTTTGCCCCACAGGGTCTCATGAGACCCTTTGCTTCCTCAAACTTTTTTTTTTTTTTTTTTTTTAATTAATGTCCAATCTATTCGTGGAGGGCAGCACGTGCTGGGAACCGGGCCCAGCGTCCCTCATAATAAGGTAACATGAGATTACAATTAGCTGTCCTGTTGTCACTACCAAGTCTAAATCTGGCCTCACGCCCCCAACATGCTAGGCTACAGGGCAGTGCGACCCACCCCAGCTCCGACCATCGTTGTCCTGGCAGCGGCCCACAGTTGGCCCCTGGATTGCCTTCCACCCTCGACAAATCCCCAGATCTCTCTACCAGGTCTCAAGCTCCTGCATCAACAGGTTACAGGTCAAACGTCCCAGCACCAATGAGCGTCGTTCTGGCATCGGCTAACCTAGACCACTGAACATCGCAGTTTCATTTGGCATCAGATGAGCCTCTACCGCCACTGAAATCCTGGATCCAGTGTCTGTGCAAGTTTGAACTTTGAAGTAATCCATGGTTACGGATGATTGCTGATGATTACTGGTGATTGCTGACGATTGCTGATGATCGCAGCTTCATGTGGCATCAGATGAGCCTCTACGGCCACTGAAATCCTGGATCCAGTGTCTGTGAAAGTTTGAAGTAATCCATGGTTACTTATGATTGCTGATGATTACCGGTGATTGCTGATGACTGCTGATGATTAGTAATTTCTATGAGATTCATTAACAACTTCTATTCCCACGTCAACCAAGCACACACATTCCAAGTGGCACTAAGAGCGTAACCTAAACCACCTATAGTTATCCCATACTTGCGGCGCATCCCGTGCGCGGGGTTGCGGCACATGCGGCGCAGAGCGCACGCGCACGTGATGCGGCGCATCCCCGAAATAGGGGTCAGTAAAAAAATTCGGGAAGGGGAGGGTGTGATGACCAAGCACGCCCCCTCCCTTCTAAAAATTTGAGTGCAAACGGAAAAAAATTGGGGCCACGTTAAGCCTAAAAACTGCGCGTGCATGTTCTATTTTCCAATCTCTTTTGCGAAGGCCCCTTGCAGAAAACTGGCAAGAGCTCATCATGAAGCAGAGATGGTCGTTGAAGTGTGAGCAGGGCGTGGGAAGGCCGAATATATGCTCTGGATTTGAATTCAGGTCTGTGGAGCAGTTATGGGTTACTAACTTCGCTAGGCCAGATCTCTGCACACGATTCTCTTTTTTTTGTTTTTTTTTCCTTAGGAATAGGTGGAGTGGCCCTAAATCTCGGTCTGCTACTTACTACATGCACAAAAGACAAAACATATGGCGGTGTATGGTTCCATGTTCTAGCGGAATATTCATTCTAGTTTTGCACATTCAGTGAGAAGCTCTGAGAATCACGTGCAGAGCCCAAAAGGGCCTGGCTAAGTTAGCGACCCATAACTGCTTAAACATAGACCTGAATTCGAATTCACACTATATATTCATGGCCCGTTCTAGCTTCTGCAAATGCGGTGCCCACCCCTGCTTGGTGATAGGACCTCCGCTTACTTAGTGGAGGGACCCCTCAGATTCCTTGCAGCGACCCTCCTTTACCTTTGCGTGCACTCTCTCTCTCTCTCTCTCTCTCTCTCTCTCTCTCTCTCTCTCTCTCTCTCTCTCTCTCT